CAGATTTTGGAAGGGAGAATGTTGGGAACGACATACCCATTCTGTGGAATTTGGTATGTCGGCAGGTGGACATGGCTATCAAAGAGATTTGAGTAGAAGTCATGGATAATCTTCTCCATTGCCCTTCTGGAAGATGTGATAGATCCATCAGGACATCGGAGGGCAGTCATCTTGGTCTTGTAGTTGGCCAAGGACAGGCGAGCGTTACGAATACTTTTCCCGGCTTCTGCTGCATCTACCAGCACTTCTGCTCTTCTCTTTTTGAGGTCTTCCTTGATCGCATCTCTGCACTGCTTTGCAAGCTCGGACGTTCGCTTGCGGTTGCCTGAGGCATGCGCCAAACCACGTTGGTGTATAAGCTCAAGAGTTTTCAAAGACAGGCGTTTTTTTGTGGCTATCTCTCTCTTGGCGTTCCTCGCACAATCATGGAGGTGCTGAGCCAGTCGATCGTATTCCTTGTCAATGTTGTCAACAATGGCATCTTCACATGTTGCCGCAATAGTGCCAAAGAGCTCCCAGTTGGTGGTTGTTCTGGGAGTTCTCTTCTTAAACTTTGCAGCCCTTTCTCCCGGCTCTGTGAAGTAGAATTTTGCACGAAGGAGATGGTGGTCCGATCCCGTTTGGAATTCTGGGACAACAGTGACATCGGTCAGGCAAAACCGTTGATTGAATATGATGTGGTCTATTTCGTTGTCGTATCGTCCACCAGGAGACTCCCATGTCAACGTTTAGATTCAGCATTCTGGAATTTTGAGTTACCATGGATGGTCTTGGGTGACATGATGAACTCAGACAGTCTCTCACCCTGTTGGTTCCATTCTACGGCCCTGATGTGCAGTTCTTTGGCTGATCTTCTCGGTCCTATCTTGGCATTAAAATCACTCACAATGATCTTGTAGAAGGTGTGGTCTTCTTTATAGAACTTCTCCAGCTCCATGTAGAACTTCTCAATTTCTCCTTCATCGTAATTGGATGTTGGTGTGTAGACAACGAAGATAGAAACTGCCAGCAGTGAGCCACATCTATTCAAATGTAAACGTCCTATTCGGGTTGTTAGGCATTCGAATGAATCAATGCTCATGGACAAGTTCGTGTTGACAAGGACACCAACACCTCTTTTGCCGCATGTTCCGAGGAACAGTTCTTCCCCTGTGTTGAAAACGGTGTGATGTGATTGATACCTTCTGGTCTCAGTCAGACCAATGATGTCGGACTTGATCTTTCGCGCTTGCACCATCAGGTCGATAGATGCATCCAATGAAAGCGTACGTGCACTGAAAGTAGACAGTCATTTTTGTCTTTGTTTTTGCAGCCTAGTTCGGCCTTGAGATTTTATCAGCCTCTCCTTTCTCATCCTTCTTAACGCTGCACAGCATTAGCTCTTTCAGGGTCAGGGGAATGAGACCCATTGTGTTTACTGGTTTCGGCATATAGAATACACCACGGATAGCTTGCCAGACTCTGCTGTGCGGGCGGGATACTCTTGGTAGCTTGCCAGGCTCTTCGAGAGGGCTTTTACGGCGGCCTCTAATCGCCCTTGCAAGTGTTTCCATGGTTCAAACCATATTTGAACCCTATCAAATATGGTGCGGCAATCCTGGAAGATGGGTATTCACTCCTCCAAGTGAACTGAATAACGTGATTGGAGACACTTTTTTGCAGGAATGGGGATAGGGAGGGTAAGAGGCAGCAGATGTGAGGGAGGAGGCAGGGGTGGGGTGTGTGGGGTCAATCAGCATCTGTGTTGCCTGCAGCTGCGATATATTCATTCCAAAGAAGGAATCTGGGAGTGCTAAAAGACCATCCTGGTAAGCGTGGCAGTGACACAGCTCTATAATGGCCAGGCACAGCCCACTGGACCAGTAGCTTCACTGAACCCCTCCCCATCCTGGCTACAAAGGTTCATGCTTTCTTGCTGTCGTGTTCCTTGAGAAACCAGAGATAATCCAGTGGGACTGCATGGAGGAGGTGACGTCTGGCTTTCCTCTCACTGCTTTCCACATTTTCTTCTACCTGTGGTTTGAGTCTCGTGTCTTGAGTTGTGGCTCTCTGTCTTCGTATTGCCCAGAACCAGACATTACATTCACGCCTCTCATTGACTTTGGGACATTCGGATCATTCTTCCCATAAATGCTCCCTCTACCACTAGTCTCCACTCCCCGTGTGGCACCTCGAGCACCTTGGAAGGAGCCTGTTCCCTGTCTTTCCTGTCCCCTACGCCTGTTGCTCTCGTGGCCCCTCACACGCCTGGGGGCTTGATCCGTCAGCCTGCCGCTGGCTTTCAGCCACGGTTCGCTGCCATGTCTTTGCGTCTCGTGGGTCATTCCTTGGCTTCGTGCTCGGACCATTCACCGTTTCCTGGATTTTCTCCACATTTTCCTTGGCCTCTCGGAGCCTCCTTTGGTCTGCCTCCTGCTCTCTGTCAGAAGCACTGTTGGCTCCCCGTCCACTCTGCACGAACCCAGTTCTTTTTGTGGGCCTCGTGCTATCCTTCGGTGCTGAGTCCAGTGGTCAGACGGGCTCTGTCCGGATGCCAGGAGGGGTCAGCTGACTTAGCCTTCTGACGCTGCACCTCCCCAATGCAGCCTGCGGCTTTCTAGAACTTTCCATGTCAGTGCCAGCTTTCAGGGTCTGGCTTCCAAGAGGGAACTAAGAAAAATAAAACAAAGCCAGCTCCGGCCTGTGTGAGCCCCAGGGTGCAACAGCAGCTGTGTGGTGTGTGTATGGGTGGGTACGTATGGGGTGTGTGTATGTATGTGTGTATGTTTCTATGGTGTGTGCACTGTGTGTGTATGTGTGTGGAGTATGTGTATTTGTGTGTGGGGGTCTGTGTGTGTGGGGGGGTGCATGTGTATTTGTGTATGTGTGTTTGTATGGTGTGGTGTATGTCTGTGTGTATATATATGCGGGGGGGTATGTATATTTGTGTGTGTGGGTCTGTGTGTGATGTGTCTGTATATGCATAAGTGGGGTATGTGTTTATGTGTGTATGCATGTGTGTGTGCGGGGGTTGTGTGTGTGGTATGTGGGGGAGTCTTGGGTGAAGACCTCCAGGATGGGAAGCAGTGAACAGAAAGGAGCACGCATACCCGTGTCTGAGGGGACACACAGAAGTGTGGAATTGCAGTGTGATGCGTCACCCCAGCCGAGGCCCACCAGGCTCACGGGTAGTGGGGGTCCCGACCCCCCACTCAGCTCCCTCTCTAGATTCCGTTTTTGAGTTCTATTTCACTTCAATTAATTCCCCACCAACCAGGGAGTCTTTGACTTTAAAGCTGGTTTCTCGATGCTCATGGATGTTTTTAGAATTGATGGAGATCTGTGTCTTTCTCTCCTTTCTCGTCTTTCGCATACAAGACAGAAGACATATCCGCAGACCTTTTCTGCTGGGGAGACTCAGGACTGCCTCAGATCATTGCCAGGAAACAACTCAAGCCCGGAGTGCTGGCACCTGGCGCGGACATGGCCTGCCTCGGTTTCCCTAAGTACTCGGTCCCACTGCGTGTGCCGTGGAGTCTGGGAGTGCTGCGCTGGGGCCCACCCGTCTGCCCCGCACACCTCCTGGACTGCCCCGGCGCAAAGTGCACGCGTCCAGCCTCAGTGCGAAACCCTGAGCTGGCTTTAGTGGGACAACTGGGGGCTCCGGAGACACTGGCAGGGGACACTGGCATTTCAAGTGGCTCTCAAGTGTCTTTTTGGAAAATTCTCAGTCACAGACTCATGTGCCTGCTATGATTCAACTGCAAAATGGCGGCCTTGGCAGGGCCAGCGAGGGGCGGGAGGCCCATGTCGCAGCAGCTGTGTGACTCCTCGAGGAGACAGACATGGGGGCGTTTGGGAGAAAAAGAGTCATGGATTCACAGTCAAACACCATCAGGTTGTAGCGGGGGAGGGGGTTGGGGGGAGTTGCTGTCTGGGGGGGACACAGTCCAGGAGGAAGGGATGGTGGGGTCACTGCCCAGGAAGTGGGCGCTGTGGAGGGGTCACTGTCCAGGAGGAGGGGGCTGTGCGGGGGGTCACTGTCCAGGGGGAGGGTGCCGGGGGTTGCTGTCCAGTGGACCACTGTTCAGACCTAGGGCAGGGGGTGCTGGCGCTGGGCCGGTGGTCAGGAAGCGGGTCCTGGGCACAGAGGTCACGTGAGGACATTGAGGCCACAACAACAGCACTATCAGAATTGGTCACTGGTCTGCCCTGACACGGGGGACACTTTACAATGTGGGGGCCCCATTTCGGTGAGCGCCTCATGGCCCCTCCCAGGCCTCCCACTGTGCTGAATGTGGAAGCTAGAGTGGACGGAGGGCACCGTGGGGCCCATCCCCCTGACTCAGACCCACACCCATCTCCTGGAGGACCAGGAAGCAGTGCAGAACCTAGCCCTTTAGAACATGCCCTCAGAGAGCGCTGGGCGCAACCCCCACCTGCAGAGGGACAGCCCCTGCCTCTGCGCAGCCTGGTTCTCCCCTTCCTGCCCTCCTGCCCTTCCCGGGGCATAGACGGAGATGGCGATGGACACTCTCCCCTTTCTGGCTCTGGACATGCGGAAGCGGCAGCGCAAGGGGCACCCAAGCCCCTCCCAAGCCCCTGGCTAGCAGCCTCCAGGGTCCAACGTGCCTCCAGACCTGCTGCCCCAGGGCCTTTGCACAGACAATGCCCTCCCCTGAGCGGCTCCCCAAGCCCCCCGTCCATGCTGCTGTTCTCACGTGTGGTCTGCTAGGACTTTCCGCCCCGCTCTGCCCCTGCAGGGCTCTGTGGACCCTGGGCCACAGTCCCGAGCACAGCCTCCAGCTCACACCTAGGTTCGCCTGTGCTCTGGAGGTGTCTGGGGGAAGAAAAGGCAGAGGGAGGAATGTGGCCGAGGTGGAAGCCAGGACGGCCCAGGCGGTGGCTGGAGCCGGGTGGGAGAACTGCACATTTGCTCTTGTCTGACCTCATGGGCCGCGGAACCTGGGGTCCAGTCTGCCCCCAGGAGCCCGGACCCAGCAGACACAGGCCGCGCTTACCCTGGGCAGTGCGTATTTGGGCAGCTTCATCAGGACAAATTCACCACGACGGTAGGAGACGTAGTATTTGGTTCGGTTTGCCGAGGTTGTCTAACGGGGGGGAAGAAACAGTCTTTCAGGGTTTTCCATCCTCAGGGGGGAAACTCACACATCGCATTCAGCTGGTGAAAAGGCCCTTTTACTTTGCGTACAACTGCTCGGCCTGAAGTGGGCAGACTCCTATTCGTCCTTCAAAGCCCCATCCCCAGTGCCTTTCCTCTGGGAAGTCTTCCTCTGTCTCCTGCAGTCAGAACTATGACGTCGTTCTCTCCTCTCTCAGCAACTGCTCCCGCCCCGGCCCGCACCACTCAGTCAGAGAAACCCTTTAAGGGGGAGTTCTCACGAGCCTCTGGTGGAGCAGGCTACTGGCTAAGGGTCAGCTCACGTCACAGAAGGAGACGCCAAGGCACGAGGCAAGGAAGCGCCAGTAGGGGTTGCGGGGGCAACTCCATGGGCAGTGTCACTCCGGGACCAGGCCCCCGGGCACTGCAGGGCCGCCCCGGCATCGAGCCTGCCGGAAGGTCAGAGCAGAGCTCCAGGGAGTGGGGTGGAGGCGACAGATGGACCCACAGGCCGGCCATCTGGGAGGACCCTGCACTCGCCCCCCTGCCCGGCAGGCTCAGCGGGACCCCGACAGACCATGATCCGGGAAGCTTCCTCTCCTAAGTGCCCCTGTTCCCCGCAGGGAGGCCTCCAGGGTTGAAATAGTCAGTACATCGATGCCATCTTTGCTCTGGTATTAGCAGGTCTGGCCCACAGTCCTAGAGCCCATCCTTGCTCACATGCCTTATGGCGCAGCACTGGCTTTCACGGAGGTAAGCATGGAGCTGGGATGCTCGGAGAGGGCAGCCAGTGGACCTGATCTGGAGGGGGAAGCCAGGGAAGGCTTCCTGGAGTAGGTGGCATGTGGAACTTGGACATGGGCAGTTGTGACCCGGTGGAGAGAGTGGCATAGGCAGAGACCGGAGTCCGGGGGCTGGGCTCCTCTGTTCTGGAGAGGGGGAGCTGAGCTGGTTGCGGGCCAAGGCGGGGCCAGGAGGCACTTGCTGGACTGCGCTAAGGGAACGGTTCCAGCCTCCTAAGGCCAGGGGGCGCCGCCACAGGCTGCCTGTGGGGGAGCGAAGCCCAGCCAGGGCCCATGGTGACGAGCACAGGGTGAGGCCTGGTGCCGGGAGATCCCCTCAACCTCGGAGCAGCCTGGGAGGGGGTAAGCTCCCTGTCAGCAGAGGCAACCAAGCAGCATTCATGGGAGTCAGGGCGGGTTTGTGGGTGCAGGTGGAGGATGCCGGGTGCTGGGGTGGAGTTCAGTCCCTGTCACCCAAACTAGAGGGCACATGGGTCTGGGGGCCAGTGCCATGGGAGGCTCCGGGTGGAGGCCCTAGAGGTCGCTAAGCCCGGCTGGGGAAGGGACGCCTGAGCCCCCATAGGGTGCATTGCGGGCCCGGGACATGGAGCGGCCTTGGAGAGTCAGAGGTGTTTGTCCGCCCCCTTGCGAGGGCTCCGTGTCCCCCACGCATCGTCCTCTCACGTCCCCGGCCAGCCTCACCTTCAGGAAGATGTAATCGTCCTGCACGGCCAGGGAGTCGGGGGCGATGAGCCCCGGGAAGGGGCTTGCCCGTGTGTTCTCGGAGCAGCTGTGCAGGCGGCACGTGATGTAGCGGCAGCCTGTGGGAGGGGACATGCTGGCCACCGCCCTGCCGTCTGCTCCCCGCACCCACGGCCACACTGAGCTGGCCATGTGGCCTGTGCCAAGGCCCTGCTGATGTCGGGGTCCCATCTAGGGGAGGAAGCAGGCCTCCGTCAGAGGCAGCCCTACCCCCCGCCCCCCAGTTTTATGGGTCCACCCTCTGCACACAGCATCTGGTTCCGCATCTGTGGGCAACTGCTCTGGCCACTGACCACCAGAACATGAGGCGGGCAGGGCCTGCAGGGGTGAGCACCGTGCACCCCGGGGTTGCCCAGGAACCCCACACCCAGCCACATGGCCTGCACCCACTCACTCTCACTAAATCACTCGCCCACTAGGCCACTCACTCATGCTCTCACACTCATTCACTTCTGCCTCTCCCGTCCCCTCACCCACTCTCATCTCCTCATCCCTGCACTCACCCCACGCCCCCTCTCACCACCTCCCTCACACATCCACCCATTTATGCATCTCGCGTGACCAGCTCCCTGCCCCAGACCCAGCACAGGACAGCTGAGTCCCCTGCCCGGCCGTGTCGGGAGAGGTGCGCACAGCAGGCCTGAGGTGCGCGTTCATGAGCCTTCAGCCTCTCCCATGGTGGGGGGAGGGGGGGGGGACGGGACACAGGCCTGTGGTCATCTGTTTCCTAGGCAGGCTCTGGTCAGCCCCACTGTTTCTGGGGAACCCGCCAAGGTCCCCAGTGGGATACGGGCGGCAGCCCAGGATCTGCAGGGAATGTCAGGCCGGGGCACCTGGTTTACCTCAGGGGTCACATGGGCCCCCCCTTACCTCCTCCCTCGTCCTGTGCTTCCATGTGGACCAAGTCCGGGTTGGTGTCCACCCCAGACACAGCCCTGGAAGAGAAGGCTGGGCTGGGCTCTTGTCCTCCTGCGGGGTGACGTGTTGGCTGTCCCGGAGTGGCCGGGTGCATGGTTGGGAGGTCTGGCTCTGCCCACCTGCCTGAGCAGAGGAGCCCCAGACCGCACCAGACCCCCATACCTGGCTGGATCCGTGCTTCCTGACAGAACGTTCCAGGTGAGGCCCAGGGAGCCCTGAGACGCAGATGAGTGGGGAGGGGGTTCCGCGTGGCCCTCAAAGTCACTTCCCCTCACAGTCCACTGTGGGCCCTTCACGGGCAGCCCTCAGGCCCACAGGTGCAGAGTATGACACCCGCAAGTGGGGAGAAAGTTCCAGAAAGTTCCATATCGCTCACTACTCATTCACTCGCTCCATCCCTTCACTCGCCCATGCATTCATTCACTCACTCACTTGCACAGTGCTCCTCACTCCTGCCCCCACTAACTCACTCAGTCATTAACTGTCCACTCTCATCCACTCCCTCCCTCACCCCTGCACTCACCCACCTGCTCGCTGATTCACCCCTTCCTTTATTCATTTACGTGTTCACTAACTCATGCACTTAACCAGCGATTCCCTCACTTCCTCATTCATTCATTCATTCATTCATTCCTCCCTTGTCCAGGCAGGGGAGACCCAGCCTCTCAGGAGGGCCTGCCTTCACAGGAGTGATAACGCCCTCGCCCCCTTCCTGCCCAGCACAGTAACGCACGCCCGACTCCCCACTCAGCTCAGGAAGCATCTCCAAAACGCTGTCAGAACAGTGGTCTCCGCCCGCGTGTCACCAGGCCCGAGCCCCTGAATGAGCTGCTCGCCAAGCGCCCAGGTTGGGGAGCAAACCCCAGTCCCACCACTGTTGAGGGGGACAGGAGAGCTGCCCCAGTCTTTCCAAGGCTGCTGGCACCAGGCCAGGGAAGGAACGGGCCGCCCACAGGTGCTGTTCGAGGGTGAGGGCCCAGGGAGATGCCCCCAGCCTGACAGTGACCGGCCTGGGCCTCACGGGGGTGGCCCGGCAGAGGGGTCTGTGCACGGCTGGTTGCGGACCCCAAACCGAACAAATGGGGAAACACTTGTGTCTGTGTGTCAGTCATGTGTGTATCTGAGTCTGCCTGTGTGTACACCCATGTTTCTGGGTGTCTGTGTTCGCCCGTGTGTGTGTGTGTGTCTCAGTGTGTGTGAGTCTGTGTGTCTCTGTATCTGTCTCTGTTGTGTGTCTATCTCCCTGTCTCTGTGTGTGTCCATGTGTCTGTGAGTCTGTGTGTCTGTTTCTCTGTGTCTGTGTCCGTATCTGTGTGTCTGGTGTCCATGTGTCCAGCTGTCCGTGTGTCTCTATGTGTGCTGAGCAGGCACAGGCAGGATGGGGTGGGGGGTGGGTAGGAGCAGGTGGTCACTGTGCCAGCCGGGCCCTGTGTCCCTCTGTCGCCAGCCTGGCCCTCACTTGGTTGTGCCAGTCAGGGTCTCGGAGGGCACAGGAATGAGGGCGCCACCCTGGGCCTGTGTGTGGACCCTCAGTGTGCCCGGAGCCTTCCCTGGTGATGGTGGGCGGGGGGTGTCCCCACAGTGCTTAAGAGTCCAGGGGCAGGCGGGGAGGGGGCGCTGCTGGGGGCCACATCCCCGGGCTCACCAGAAAACGCGGTCCTTGGTCACACGGTCCTGCAGCAGCGTCCACGTCCTCCCCAGGTCCACAGACACGTAGAGCTGCAGGGGAGGGGCGGTCAGGGGGGCTTCACGCCCCAGGCTGCTCCTCCCACCCCCCAAATCCTCTGCTCCCCACTGCCCCAGACTCCTCCAGACTCCCCCAGACTCCCCCGGACTCCCCCAGACTCCTCCAGACTCTCCCAGGCTCCCCAGGGCCCCCCCAGACTCCTCCAGGCTCCCCCAGATGCCCTTGACCCACTCCCATTGCCCCACTCCCCCATGAGATCTTGAATCTGTGGGTTTTTCTGCCCTGGACTCTAAGCACTGTGGGGCTGTGAGGTCTGGGCCCCTTTGCAGAGAGCAGCCCACGTGGGCGCCCTTCGGGTGGTCCCGTGAGTGCTGCCGGGGCCCTTCCTGCCGAGTGCTCCCTGTCCCGGCAACAGGCTCCGCCGCACAGAGCTAGGCTGCACCGAGTCACTTTGAGGTGACACCCGGCCTGGGGCAGGCTGGGCTCAAGTCCGCGAGGCCTCCGTGCCTGAGCAAGGCAGGCTTTGGAGCCGCGGCTGAAGGCACCAGGGGCAGGAGAGCGTGCATGTGTGTGCATGTGTGCATCTCTGTGTGTGTTCACATGTGTACAGGTGTGCAGAGGTGTGTGCACGTGTATGTGTGCATGCATGTGTGCAGATGAACATGTGTGTGCATGTGCATGTGTGCACACGTGTGTCCCCAGGAGGTCCGGCAGCTCCCCTTTCCCGCACCTGCCCTGCCCCTTGGCTGTCCTGCGAGGAGCAGCTGCCCATTTTCTGCAGCACCCCTACAAGGTCAGCAGCAGGGGGGCTGGCACCCAGGAGCACTGTGGCCACCTGGACCCACCTGGACCCCCCACCAGTGGCCAAGGGGGGCAGTGGCTGCAGGACGTCCACGTAAGCGCAGAGGAGGGGGACGTGCTTGGGGTCTGCTCATTAAGGGGGAGGCAAGGTCCCTTGCTGCCTCTGGGAAAATTCCTTGGAGGCAGCTATGAGCGTGAGGGGCTGTGGGGAGTGAGGGGATGGAGGTGAGGGGGTGGGGTGAAGGGATGGGTTCAAGGGTTAGGGGGTGAGGGGATGGGGCATAAGGGATGGGAGAGGAGGGGTCGGGGTTGGAGGGTTAGGGGGTGAGGGGAGGGGTGGGCATGGGGATTGCAGGGATGCGAACTGAGGGCACTGTCCCCTTCGCCCTCCAGTGCTCTGGCCTGCACCCTGTCCCTGGAGAGAGAACTGAGCCGAGCACGGCTGCCAAGGCCCTGGCGCCCCACCCTGCGCTGTCTAGGCAGCCCTGACTCTCTGGAAGCTGCCACAGCCGCCCACCTCCTGCCACAGGAGACCCCCGTCCCCGCCGCAGCCGCCCCCACCCCACCCGTCCCCTCCGCTGCTGCCCTGCTCTTCTGCTGTCTCCCAGTTCCTTGCACCCTCACACCCCTCCCCTTCCCGCCACTTGAAGCCTCTGCCCTCCCCCCCCCCCCTTTAAGTCACAGGAAAGAACCGAGGCAAATCACCGAGATTTCAGCTCCATTAATTTTTCAGGGCACCATAAATTAAGGCGCAATTGCAGTACAGTCAATTTCTGTGGGAAAATAAGTCTCCATGACTGTGCTCAGGCCTAATTACATGGCAGGCTCAGAGGCGCTATTAAGACCCAGTGGTTGGGCGACAGTTGGCAGAGAAGACGCGGTCAGCAAGGAGCACCTGTCCTGTGTGGACATTCGGCCCAGGACAGTCAAGGTGACGCTGCTGGTAAAAGTCATCATCTGTTCCCGTATCGATTTATCCAACCGTCACCCTTCTCCCCCACCCCGTGACCCACTCACCATCCACTCATCCACCTACCCCTGCATCACATATCCACACATCGATCACTCACCATCATCTACTCATCCACCACCCACCATCAACCCAGTCTGCAACTAGTCACTCATGATCTACCACCTCACCCATGTTCACCCACTGACCCACGCACCACCACCCATTCATCCATTAACCCATCTATCGCCATGTCATTAACCCATCCATCGACATGTCACTCATCTGTCATCCATTATCCACTCACCCACCCATCCATCCACCCACCCACCCATCCACCCACCGACCTACCCTTTATCCATCCACCCACCCATCCACCCACCAACCCACCCTTTATCCATTCACCCACCCACCCACCCACCCACCCACCACCCATCCATCCATCCACCCATCCATCCACCCATCCACCCACCCATCCATCCACCCATCCATCCATCCATCCATCCATCCACCCATCCATCCATCCACCCATTCACCTACTGAATATATCAGGTGCAGGCGACAATCCAGTAACATCACAGATGTCACTGCACCTGATGTTGACCCTGAGCCAGAAGGATGCTGGGTCCAAAGTCAGGGACCAGGGGTAGGCACCTAAGCCAGGGATGCAGAGGGAAGCTCTGTTGGGCAGTTTGGGCTGCTGCCCTTCCTGCCACAGACCCCCTAGGGGGCTCTCCACAGAGCTGCAGAACTACCCAGATGGTCAGGGCCCTGCCCTCCATGTGTCTTGGGAGCAGAAAGGCCTGGGCAGACCTTTGGTGGAATGGAACCTGCATGAGGGACCAGGTGGGGATGTGGTACATCATTCTCTCTCTCTCTCTCTCTCTCTCTCTCTCTCTCTCTCTCTCTCTCACACACACACACACACACACACACGTGTCCACAAATGCATGGGCGGGGAGCCCAGGTGATGGGTCAGCAAGGCAGAGGGGATTTCACACACACATTCTCACACAAACACTCTTACACACATGCACACTCTCACACAAATGTACTCACACACATTCTCTTATACCCACACACATGCACCCCCACACAAGTGCACTCTTGCATGCACTCTCTTACATATGCACACACACAAATGCACGCTTGCATTCTTACACACGCACACTCACAAATGCACTTATGCACACACATGCTTCCTCTCTTACACAAATGCACTCACACACGTACACACATACAAATGCACTCTTGTATGCACTCTTACATACAAACACTCACACACTCACACTCTTACACGTGCACTCTCTCACATAAATGCACCCTCTCAAAACACACTACTACACATGCACTCTTGCAAATGCACACTCACATCTGATACACATGCACACTCTCACAAATGCACCCTCACAACACACTCTTGCCCACATATGCATACATGCACTCTCACACAAACACACGTCTGCACACTCTTGCACACAAATGCACACAGATGTACACACGCACACATGCCCACACACTCACATGCAAACATACATGTGGACTCACACACTCACACTCTCTTACACATGCACACCCATGCACTCTCACACAAATGCACTCACACACATATGCACACTCACAGAAATGCACTTCATATATACATGTGATGTAGGCAGGTAGATAGGAAAAGGCCTTTTGCAATGAAACAGTTTCATGGAAGAAGAATTCTAGGAATGACCCACCTCGTGGATACAGAAAACAAAGGCCTGATAAGACCATCCAAGACCATCCGCAGACCCTGAGGATATAGGCCTCCTCCCCATGAAATTCCTCTTTTTGGACCTCCCTGGTAACCTCCTTAGCAACGGACTTTTACCTGGAAGAAGCTTCACGTGGGGGCAGGCTGGAGAAACCCTATAAAGGCCACCTTGAACAAAGGAAGGGCGCGCATATGCTGCCCGAGCCCATGTGCTACTTGCGCCCACGTGGCCGAGCACATGTGGTGCCCGAGCACATGTGTCGCCCACATCTCCCTCTTGAGATGTGTACTTTCATCCTTTCGTCTTTCTCTCTCTGCTCCTCCACACCTAAAAATCCTCCAAATAAAATCTATTTGTTTCACCGCTTGTCTACTCCTGAAATTCCTTTCTGCGAGGCAAGACAAGAACCCAGTAACCCTGGGTCCCGGGTGGCAGAGGCGGGTAGGGAGAAAGTGACCGTCTTTCTCCTCCCCACTTCACATAAGTCACCCGTGGGGCCCACCGACATCACATGCATACACAATTCAGGTGCTCTGAGCACCAGCTGCAGACATGGGAGCAGGAGGCCACGAGAATGGGTGTGCAGCTCGCCTCTCCCTGCGCTGGGGAGTCAGAGCAGCTGGTGCAGCCCCCACGGCCTGGCGGGACCCACCCACCTCCATCCACTCAGCGCTGTAATGCCAGGCCCAGGAGCAGCCCTGGGGTGCGCCCTGCAGCCCCCACATCTTGTTCCTACTCAAAGATCTGCTTACCTGGGAGCTCCTCACTTAGTTCTAATAGTGCAGCAAAGTGGGGTGACCCCATGGCTGTGCCCCGGGCCCTGAGGTCAAAGAGACAGCACGGGCCACAGTGCTCCTGACCGGCTGCCGCCCTCACCTGGCTCTCCTTGCTGCAGGTCAGCACCTTGTCCTCCTCCTTGGGGTGGAAGATCAGCGCGTCCACAGTGAAGGGGATGGGCTGCTTCTGGAAGGTGGCGCCCTCATCTGTGCTGACGAACAGGCTCTGGTCTCTGTCGCTGAGTGAGGAGCTGACCAGGATGATCTGAAATGCAGAACAGGGTGTGGACGTGAGCCCCGTGAGCATGGGGTGAGGCCTGTGTTCGTGGGGGGCAGGATGACGGCCCCCACGTGCATGGGGTGGGCTGAGGGCCAAGTGAACAAGCCAGGCTGCACGCAGGCGGGGCAGGGGCATAGCTCCAGAGACCCCCTGTGTAAACACACAAAAAAGGATGGGCAGAGGGACGGCAGTGGCCTATCTCTCCCACCGCCCGCGTTCGGTAGTCTCAGGCCGTTTCCCCACTCCAAGGAGGTTGCTGGCGATGGTCAGGCGGAGGAAGGAAACGAGGGCCAGGCTGGTTGGTCTTAGCAGCAATTTATTACATGAAAGAAATGTATGTCATGGAGGCCTCAGGAGTCCTCAAGCACGTGCTCCTTTGTTCTCTCAGCTTCTGTCCTCAGCCCCATCTTCCCAGGTTCTCTGATGCACGTGTCCCCCCAGAGAGCCCTGAAATCTCCCTTATATAGATCATAGTACCTCTAAAGGGCGCAATATAGTGATGTCATCAAAAGGAGTTACAGAAAGAACATTGAGGCGGCAAACCATACGTTGTTTCTTTACATCTGGCAAACCATACGTTGTTTCTTTACATCCAAAGGCCAGTAATTTTGGCCTCTGGAAAGAAGATACAAAACCAAACTGAAACCTTTCACAAGCACTTTCACAAACTATAAGCACTTGGATTTGCATCCCAAAGACCAGTCTGCTGGAGCTTGGAATCTACAGTCCAAAGACAAGTATATGAGCTTTGCATACCAAAGACTAGCCTGGCTAGAGCTGGGAATCTACATCCCAAAGATCAGGCCTGGCTAGCACCTGAGATCTGCATATCGAAGACCTGCTAGGTTTCTGTGAGAAAAGGGAAACTGCCTCAATATACTGAAATCATTTACTGAAGGCAGTGTGAAGGGGAGAAAGTTCAGTCTCACCCAAACTAGTCAGGACACACAGGAAAACTGCTTCTAGGACAGATTCTCATTCAGCAGATCAACCCACCCTAGAACAGATTTCCCTGGATGTGTTTCTCCTCTCCTTGTCCTACCAACATATAGGCATACATAATATAATTCACTTTGTATGGACACAGTAAGAAATACTTTAAGCTTATAGAATTGCTCTCCTAGGGCCATCTTGATCTCAGACTGCAGTGCTCAGGCCAGATATCTTTCCTATTCCTAGCAGCAGGGTCCTAGTCTCGTCATTACTTTTGGATCATGAGAGCATTTGCCTATGATCAAACTCTTAACCTACAGTTAAGAATCGTGGCACCTTGGCCTGGCCCATCACGATGCCAGGGTAGCACATAACTTACCGGCTTGCCCTGGTTCCATCCAGTCCCACGTCGGGACCCTGCTTTTGGGGTGCTAGGAAGTGAGGGCAATTGAGGCTTGAGTTGAGAAAGCAGATGCCCAGGAGTGAATAATATTCTAAGCCAATCAATTCCTAAGTTACAAAGCATAATATTAATTAACTGTCTTCCTGTATCTATACAAAAAGGACGTTGCATTAAAGTAAACTATTCAAAAGACATAGGAGAGGAGAAAGTCAATATTAACTTATAGTACAAGTTCAGTGTCGTAGAAGGATGAGACCTTACAAATTGGTTGGGGAAGAGAGCATAGAAGTGGTTACAGACAAACAAAGTAATGGGAGTGACTCGGGAGCACTGTGATGGGTGCAACCTGATAAACCTAAGCTCCTCATACTCCAACAACCCTCCACTCAAATTCTCATGCCCCTCTGTGCCTTGGTTTCTCTGGTGTCTGGTGACCGTGAGCGCCACCAAAGGCCAGGGGAGGTCAGGGGTTCCCTCAGAGTCTGGGCGGCAAGTGCGTCCCCTCTGCTGGCAGAGGGGGAAACTGAGGTGAGGGAGAGTTGCTGAGGGCCGAGGTCTTGTGGGGCCTCCCCGGAAGACAGAGGGCTCCTGAGGGTCTGCGGGAAGGACACACACGCGGCGGGACGCCCAGGGACAGGCGGACAGGTGGCTGGGAGCAGGGCACTCAGGGCCGCTCCCAGGGGTCATTGGCGAGATGTGGGGTGTGGGGCTTGATCTGGGGGGGTGGGGGGCGGGGGTTAGAACACGGGTCTGAGGGCGCTGCTTCCTGGAGCGTCTCAGAGGTCGTGAGGGCGGGGCTGCGGGCTCTGCCCTGGGGAGCAGGCAAGGGGCGCTTGGCCACTGGGCCGGGGCTTTGCAGGGATGCGGGCCTCGCACAGCACCCGCCGAGCTGGAAGCGGCTCTGCCTACCCGCGTCTCCCAGGCATCCTCCTCACTCCGCCTGCAGCCCTGCCTGCGCGGGTGTCGGCACTGGGGGCCACGCTAAGACCCCCCAGGCCTCTGGCTACTCAGGCTCTGGCCCCCCTTCACCCAGCGGCCCCTGCCCTGGCCCTCGTTAAGGTCCTTTCCTCAGGACACAGTTTCCAAAATCCTCTTCCAGGGCAAGACATGCCCCATCAGGGGTGAGCGCAGGAGCGAGTCTGCCTCTGCTTGGGGCTCCCAAGGGAACCGTTTCCTCTCCCTAGGGAGCACGATGTTCCAAGGGGAGTTAAGTCACCAACAGGGCTGGTCAGCTCATGACTTGTTCCCTTACCCGCCCCTGGTCCAAGCCCAGCACATCAGTCCCGGCTCATTCTACACTTGCAAAGCAGTGGGGCCCAACAAGGCTCTCAGGGATACGGAGGACTGTAGAGGAGGGCTGATCAGATGGCGTCCTGGGGCCAGGCAAGATGGAGGGCTTCGGGGGAGGTGGCACCTAGGTGCATCTTGGAGAGCGATGGAGAGGTGACAGGCTGACTCGGGTTGGGGGGCAGCATGAGCGAGACACACATGGGGGCCCTGCCTCTGATGCTCGTGGCACCAGCCTCAGCAAGGTCCCCATGGGGACACGAGGACCCTAGCCCATCAGTTCCAAATGGCACAACCCGGCTTCCCTCCCTGCACAGCTGGTGCCCCCAACATGAGGTGAGCCTGCCTTTGCGATGGGAGAAACTTCCCTTTGTTATCTGCTTGCCCAACACCTCCCCGTGGGCCTCCAGAAAGGCCACCTCCTCCAGTGAGCCCTCCATAATACCATCTTGCAGCAGAGATTGCTTGCTCCCCATCCCTCAGCATCAGGTGCTCCATGTGCTGCAGCCCCATTCCCCGGGTGCTCTTTGTGAGACGGCATTTCCCGTGACAGCGGAGCCGCGCACACCGGCTCACAGCCATCTCCAGCCCGGAGCACGCGGCCTGGTGCCAGGTGGACAGAGCTTCCTCCCATGAGTCTGGTGCTGTTCCCACACAGCAAAGGCTCCGGGCGTGGGGCCACCTCCCCACAGTGGCCTCAGCGAGGCGTGAGCGGGGAGCAGGGCAGAGGAAGGCGCTGGCGGGCGCCCAGCACCATGGGGCTATTTTTGGCCTCAGCAGAGGACGATTCGGCCAGGAAAGACGTGGAAGGGAAAGTGCTGACGAGGAAGGATTATTGGAGCAAAGAAAACAAATCAATTAGCGTCATGTGGGCAGCAGGCGGCTCGCCCCTCCCAACCAGAAACCGAGCTGTTTTAGCGGGTATTCTTGCCGCTCAACGCGGGGGAGGCAGATGGCGCCCAAGACACCCAGAGACTGGCGGGTATTTGGAATCAGAGACAGCGCCGCAGAGAAACATCTGCGGGTCTGATGGATGGGAGCCCGCCATAAGCTGGAGGCCCGGGGCGGGGGGGTGGGCGCAGCAGGACCCAGCGAGGCAGTGCTCGCAGAACCCAGAACCAGCAGGAGCCGGGCCCTCTGGGGGGCAAGCGAGGGGGTGCAGCGCGGGGAGCACTGGCGGGGAGGTCCTTTAAAGAAGAGAGAGGAAATTCCCTGAACTGCAATCCACTCCTGGGCACTGAGTTGTGGGCACCAGAGAGGAGGTCTGCACCCCACTGCCCCAAGACCCAAACAGGTGATGGTGAGGAAGCTAGGGTCCACATGTCCCCGTGGAATACTATGCTGCCATGACAAAGATGGGGGAGCCCTTAGGGACGGAAGTGGAGGTCCCAAGGGAGAGCTGGGTGTGACAGGTCAGGGGTGGGGGCTCCTTTACTTCAGGTCACAAACAACAGGCCAGGAAGCCAGGGGTCAGCAGATGAGATAGACTGGAGAACCGGGGGTCTGGTGGGCAGCCAGCAGAGCGCCCACACACGGGCTCAGGCAGGGGACTGGAGAGACAGCGCCGCCCAGACCTGCAGCCGAGGGTGGCCCTGAGCCGCTCTGGGCCTCCCGTCGTTCCCTGGCAGAGTGGTTGGAGGAGGCAAGACCCTTGCTGGGCTGTGGGAGAGTACAGTGGGTGGCCTGACCCAGCCTGGACCTCATCCCTGGAAGTCAAGCCCCAGCCCCCCCACCCTATGTCACCCCAGTCTCCCCAGACCCACCACCCCCCACGGAACCCCACAAGCCCTTCCCAGGGCTGGGCTGCCCCTGAAGGAGACCCCAGAGGGCCAAGGCAAAGGTGCGCGGCTCCGGCTCATGCTCTGTGGGGTGGGGGGGTCGGGGCAGGACAGCGTGGGCAGACCGTCCTGCCCCAAGCCCAGGGCCCAGCTACTCCCGGCGGCAGGAGGATGTGCCCAGCAGGGGACCCAGAAAACGATGCCAGGAAAGTTTCGCAGACAGCGGACAGACATAGGCTGTACCCGCCCCCGAACCTCAAATTAGCCCGACACGAAGACAGAGAGTGAGTCATGGGACAAAAATAACCACCAGAGACAGCCCGCTGAGGAGACGAGCGAGGCACGACTCTGCAGGGGGAGAGTGTGAATGCCAAGGTGGTGGTGAGTGTGGACGTGAGCACGGCCGTGAGCGTGGACGTGAGTGTGGATGAGTGTGTGGACTTGAGTGTGGCCATGAGCGTGGATGCAGCATGGAGTGAGTGTGGACATGTGACATTGGAGCCCACAGAAGCCTCCCATCCTAGACACACGCGTGCAAGGAGACACACAGGAACAGGGTGACAGCAGCATTCCAGAAGGTTCTC